TAAATCAGGCAAAGGGGCTGCAGCTAGCATGGGGGAGAGAAGGAGATCAGTGGATTGCAGGACATTTACAGCTACCAACATTGAAGGGGACAATAGCTCCTCTTGCTGCATTTGGAGAATGAACAGAGAGGGAGCTAGCCATGGGCTGTGGACACCAGGCCACAGAAACAGGGAGGGGAAGGAGGGGGAAGATGTCCCTGGCAAAAAGATCAGGCAGAATTAATGATACAGAACTCCCTTACAAACAAAAAAGGCTGAGGGGTAGCTGCCGGGTACCTGCAGCTCTTGTCTGTAGTTCAGCATTACTTATAGGAGGAGGAAGGGCAAGGGAAAATATTTCTGCTGTTGTCTCAGCCTAGGCACATTTACATTGCAAAATGGTTTGATGCTCGGCCGGTTGGTATTTTCCTATTCACTAAGTGTCCTTTGCACCGCGGTGCCTTCCCAGCTCAGCACAGCACCTATGTGGGTAGGCTAGAATAACTAACCTTGCTGCTGCAGGTAGAAAAGCTGACATGCTGCATAAAGCTGACAGCTTTAATTTATACACTTTTTATCTTTGTCCGCATTCCTGGGAGCTTATGTATACAGGAAAGGGAGCAATGTTCACACATATCCTTAAAAGCAGCTATGACCACACTATTCTGCGAAACACGCAGGGATAGGAGATTGCAACCTTATATGGACTCCTTGGGGCTGGAGCATCGCTGGCACCCCTCGGAGAAGGACAGCTGGTGGAATTTCCTATGAAGGGCCAATTAATAAAGACAAAATCCTTTTGTATATACGCATGTCTAAATATTGGACAAGAGATTCAAGGCTCTGCTACCCGAGAGTCCTGAACCTTACAGAGTCTCCCGCAGCCGTTAAGGGATCTTGTAGCCTCTGACCCAGGCTCTAAGTGCCCAGCACGGACTGTAAGGGCTGGAGTAAGGAAAAGCACCAAAATGGGCTGCGCGAGGGCCGTATGTCCCAAAGTAACATGCTCCAGAGCCCCTGGTTCCCAACCTCCATTCTGAGAGCAGACCTTTGCACACCTTTGGTACCATCCAGCAAAACCAAGTGGTGACAGGCTGGAATTCTGCTTTCCCCAGCTTTGGGCTCTCCAATCCCAGCCTCACCCCTGACATCTCACTTCTGCAGCTGCCAACCCACCAAGACTTTGCCTTGCTTATCAGGCTTGTCCAAGGGCCAGGAGCCTTCAGGGACATCAGAGCCACTGCATTGCTGTGCTGCTCTCCTTTTAGCTGTAGTAGAGAGGTCAGGGTACTGGGAACCAGGCTGTCCCCAGTGCTGCTCCTGCCAGCAAGGTGCAAAGCAGCTTCTGATGTTAACAGGGTTGCAGGCACCAGGTGAGTTGTAAATTCCTTTATATTACATGACACCCAGATCGCTCACTCCCAGCTCAGCAGAGAGCAGAGGAGATGGAAAGCAGCAGGCACACGTGGTGTTTGCGCTGGGCAGTGTTGCTACACTTACACTGGACACAGAGAGTACACAAACACTCCCATGGCCTCTGGGTTCTCTCATCAGGTTGGCAGATTTTGTTATCACTGTCAGCAAGGATACCATTTCTTCAGTTCCCCTCCACTTGCCTCACCTTCCAATTATTCTCCAATCACAGACACATGTGGCCAGAAGATTTTTCACAGCTTAGTGTTATAAGAATATATTTGGGCCCACTAGCACCTGAAAGGCACTTCCACCCACACCTCCTCTCTTATCTTGCCAAGCTATTTCCTCCAGAATACTCCCCACATGTGGTGACAGACACTGTTTGGGGACTGTGATGAGCAGGAGCCAAGCAGAGAGAAAAGTCCTCTTGCAACAGTGCAAACAGCCATCGTGACCACAAATTGGCTGCAGGTGATAGCAACTTCTAGTGCTAGGAATTGTTTAAAGCCCAGGCGATGTCCTACTTAGGAAAGCTAGGAAGCCTGGAGGGAGAAGTACCATGGAGGAAGGTGCCCTTGCAGGCTTGATGTTGGGGGACAGGGGGGGTTGAACCAGCTCTGATACTTGTCAGCAGCTCCAGCAATGGCTGCGCCTCATCTCTGAGGGGCTAAAATCAATCCTGCAACCAGCTTGTGACCACTAGCATTAAACTCCTGATTCTAAAAGCCTAATGGGGAAAAAAACCGTCAGCAGGCAGCTGCCTTAAAGAGGAAAGCAAGATGCAGAATAGGTGTACAGTCTCTGAGCAGAAGGTCATCTCAACCACCTCCAGGCTCCTGGGTGTTGATGCCTACCCACAGGTACCCTGCTGAGACAGCCAGACCCAGGCTGTGTTAGCAAATTCCTCCCTTTCTTCAGTGCAAAGGCAGCAACGAGGCCATCACTAAGCCAAGCACCTTCTTTGAGAAGGTGGTGGCTTCTGCAAAGGGGCTCAGGGTGTAAGAGCAGTCGGTGTTGCAATGGGGTCTCTTCTCCTTTCTGCAGATAAAGGCTCGGGCTGGATGGCAGATAAGATGTGGCGAACACAGCAGAGGATGGAGAGGGTCTCTGGAGCAGGGGTGGGCTGTGAAGCCTCTGCACTGCCTGGACCTGGCGGTGATGGACAATTACTGTCCTTTCCAATATTGCCATCTAGAGGACCCAGCAAGGACAAGAGATCCATGCAGGCCACGATGAGATAAGGAAGAAGAATAAAAAGCTTGCTTTTTTAAAATTTTACCTCACATAAAGGCTTGCCCAGCGTGACATGGAGATGGAGAGCCAAGTGCATAAGGACTGTCCGTGCCTTGGGCATGAGAATATAGGATTGCTCTAAAAACAGCCCTGTGATTTTTTTTTTTTTTTTTTTTTTGGGGGTTGTAGATACCTGGCTCTGGCCCACCTCCCAGCACTTTACTGAGCACCACGTGAACATGGCCAGGGGGTATGATAGCTTGACTGAAAGCTATCCCTAATCAGCTCAAATTGAACTGAACTAACAAAATTGGGACTATTCAGCAAGTGGCAGCTCTACACACCTACCTGCAGTGCAAGTCTCCCTCCCCAGACTATGCAGGGATCTGCCTTGTCCCTTTTTCCAGTGCTTCTGAACAGCACCTCTCCAAAATTTTTTTTTGCATGGCTAAAACCATATGCCAGTTCATGGCACAGCGAGCCTGTCCCAGAGGATGCCTGCTTGTGACTGTGTGCATTGGGGAGGGTTACATGCATGCCAGCTTGTCCCGGCTACTTTTTGCGTACTGGAGATAGCGCTCACCAATGGTGAGCCCAGGGGCATGAACCGTACCGTACTTCAACAAAACAATTCATTTGTAAGGGGTGTGCTGCACTTCTTTTGAGGGTTTGCGAGGGTAAAGAGCTGCCGAAAGGCATTTGTTCAATTGCTGAACTACACCCTTGTTTGTTTTAGTTATGTGCTTGAGTACAATCCAAGCCTGGGCTGGACAGCATGCGTAGAGCGGGATTAGTGGTGTTTATTCTGATTGTCAGGATTTTGAGGTGCAAGAACGCATGGTGGAATTAGCATTGTTTCACAGTAAAAAAAATAAACTCTTGTCTCCTGTCCGGCTCCTGTGACTTCCAGTAGCACAGGCCACCCACAACCAGCGTGACGCTGGACAAGCCCTTCTTGTTACAGACCCTTGGTGCTTTTGTGAGCTGCAGCCAACGCTTTGGCAAAGCCCAGCGTGAGAGCTCGGGCCCCGCCACCCCACGCGAGGACCGCGGTCCCTTTGGAAAGCAGAAGAGGCAGCCCCTCGGCTGGCCGCTGCTATGGATGGGAGACAAGTGTATTTAACGAGGTTTCGGGGGCTATCTTCCCGCAGTGATACAGAGCTACAAAGAATGTATTTTTATACCGTTCGAAAGGTGAAGGTTGTCCTTTGTGAATCAAAACTCTCAAAACCAGATTCCTGAAGTTTCCGAGATGCCCTCTATGTTGAAGGATTGTAAAGCATCTGAACAACAAACCTCTTCAGCTGCTCTGACAGCACATAGCACCAAAAAAAAGGGTACAGACAGGAGACGGAGGGCAGAATCGCCTTCAAAGGATGGCAGAGCAGCTGCCACGAGCCCAGCTGCAAATTCAGTGAAAACACAGGACATAAAAGCCCATGAAAGCTCAGGAGCCTTCAGTTTGCAAACATCCCGTAGCAATGCCTCTCACGCAGGTGTGCTGGTTTTGGCTGGGATAGAGTTAATTTTCTTCACAGCAGCTGGTATGGGGCTGTTTTGGACTTGTGCTGAGAAGTGTTGATATTACAGGGATGTTTTAGTTACTGCTGAGCAGTGCTTACACAGAGCCAAGGTCTTTTCTGCTTTTCACCCCATCCTACCAGCGAGGAGGCTGGGGGGGCACAAGGAGTTGGGAGGGGACACAGCTGGGACAGCTGATCCCGACTGATCCAAGGGATATTCCAGACCAGAGGACGTCATGCTCAGCGTATAAAGCTGGGGGAAGAAGAAGGAAAGGGGGGGGATGTTTGGAGTGATGGCGTTTGTCTTCCCAAGTCACCCTTACGTGTGATGGAGCCCTGCTTTCCTGGGGATGGCTGAACACCCGCCTGCCCATGGGAAGTGGGGAACGAATTCCTTGTTTTGCTTTGCTTGTGTGCACGGCTTTTGCTTCCCCTATTAAACTGTCTTTATCTCAACCCAGGAGTTTTCTCACTTTTCCGATTCTCTCCCCCATCCCACGGTGGGGAGGACGTAAGCGAGCGGCTTTGGGGGGCTTAGTTGCCGGCTGGGGTTAAACCACGACAGCAGGTCCACCCACCGCCCCAGGACATGTTCGAGGGAGCAGCAGTTGGGTTTTGCTGCTCCTGGAGAAGCCGGGGAGCCGGACATCAGCGTCTCTCCGCTCCCCAGCGCCTGTTTCTGCACGGGAGGACGGTCCCGAGGCTGTGTTTCAGGAGCAGGGGTGAAGGCAGGAGCGTGCACCCCAGCCCGGCTGCCCTCCAGCCCATGGGGTTCAGCATCTGCATCACTGGCTGCTGCCTTACCCGTTGGCCAAAGGCCACGAACAAACTGGTCTGAGAAGGTCAAGCGGCACGTCGTCACTTTGCTACAGATTTATTTCCGTGTGAATTAATGAAACGGTACACACAATTCCAGGAAAAAAAAAAACCAAAAAAACTTGTATAGGCCCATAATCCTTCTTTCACAGTACAACGCAACACTAAAGGATTTAGTCAGTGTAAACAGAAGGTCCAATAGTGATCATCAGCTATCACAGATCAGCTGCACAAACACCACAACTACGGAGTTAATGCCATTACCACACAAATCGACAGTACCAGTACAAATCATAACTTTACCTACAGTGCTTTTTCATGTGCAAAAACCATGAAAATTCAATTTACAGAAGAAGGGCACCTTCTCTAAATCTTCACGGGAGCTGTAAACTGCCTCCTTGGGGCTGTCTTATCTATTGGGCGAAAGGTGTTGGGGCCTGATTCTCCAAGGTACCCTTAACTTCATCTGCAGCATGCAAACCATCAGGGCTCTGCATCTGAACACCGGGCACTCATGTATTCTCTGCTGCAGCAGGACAAAAAAAATAATCAGCTGAGGATGAATCTGAGTCATTTATTAAATCACTCCTGAATTTCAGCTTAGATTCATTCATTCGCCAAGACTATTCAACACAATCCTGGTTATATTATGTATGGATCATAAGAGTTCACAGGTAACCCACAAAATCATTATTCGTTAACTCTTTCTTTTTTTTTAGTGTACTAACCAAACTGTCACTGGCATCAAAAGCTGAGGCTTATGCTAATGTGTTGGCAAGCTTAAAGAGAGTGGATAAATTCTTGAAATCTAAGGGTCAGAGAAAGAGAGGAATGCTACCAAGGCTATGCTAAAACGTTACGCTGTGGCCATCTCGCAGCGCTCGGCTGCAAATTTGCACCTCAGCTGAGGATTGCCTGGGAGGGAGCCCTGCGCTGCCCTTACACTGTGCCGCACACAGGGCCTGCCGATGGGACCACGGGCGTTCAGGGGGAGCAGAACTGTTCTGCACCTCTGGTTGCACCAACGCCAGCTTTGTAAATTGAATTCATAGTCAGATTATACAGGAAAAAACAAGAGGTAGTTATTTATCATACCTCTTCAAAAAGGCAAAACAAACAAAAAACAGGATGTAGAAGTGATGCCGTAACCTAAAGTCAACAGGTACCTTTTTTTTTTTCCTTTTTTGTTTTTTTAAACACATGAAGTTAAGTTAGACATCATATAAAATGCACACTTTATGGAATTCCTGCATAGCAGGAAACAAAGAGGCTAGCGCTAATCCAACAGCTATGTTAACAGCGAGACTGCCATTTACCGGTGCAAGGAAGATGCCCTATCTAAATACAAACAGAGTGTTCCCCCCCTTCTAGAGGAGTCCTATGGCAACACTTACACATTTTGTTCAGAAGGAAAAAGAAAGCATTTTCTTGGGGATAAACTGCCAAAATAATTAGTTTCACATCCGTAAATTTAAGGCAATGTTACTTAGACCTGAGAAAATGGAAAAAAAAGAAAAAGGTTTAAATTTATTTTCTCAACTATACATATACACTCAAAATTTCAGTATTTCCTGCCTCCTCCAACTCTCAGGTGGTGCTGGGGAAAACAGCCATGGGGAAACTGCTCTGAGCTCTCAGGGTCGGATCCTGAGAGATGCAGAGTTCGTTCCAAGGAAAGCTAACAGGACCTGTGAGTGCTCAGACTCACCCAGCTCTTTTTCATACATTCTCTTTTTAAACACCTCTCTTTAAGCCCTCTGGAGAGGGTTAACTCCAGAACGGGCCTGTAGTGCACCGGTAACCCTGAAAGGTTTGTATAGCAAAACTGCAGCTAAAATAGACAATAAAATTACATACAGTAAATTTCTGCGATTCCCCCTCTTCAGGAGAAAAAGAAGGATGTCAGGGTTAACAATTTCACTGCACGTTTAGCCATTCCCATAACTACAGAGTAAATCCTTTAACACTAGTGTGAAATCGCAAATTGTTCTGTGCTCTTCCTTGGAAAATTAAAAAGAAAAAAAAATTTAAAAAAATCAACTCGCAAACATTTCTCGTTAAATGGTAAAAGACATGGGAGAGATGGGGTGGGGATTACAGACACACAGCATGCTAAGGAGTTATTAAACAAAGTGCAATGATTTTTGACTATACAGGAGGACGGACGGACAACTCCCCTTCAGTACCACCTAGATGCTCAATACCTCTGGAGAGGTCCGGAGGTACCATGTCAATCTGTAGCCGTAAAGCTTGTGTTCGAGGTTGGCTGGGCTCCACGGCCCCCTGTGCAACTGCGGCAGCTCTGCACATCTTAGCTACGTCTGTGACTGCGGGAGAAGGGATTCGCTCGCACCAAGACACGGTTGCTTCCCAAACGTGAAATCTAGTTGCCAGTTGAGGATTTGATGGCTGGCTCTAGAAAGCTGCTTGAGCCACAACTGAAAGAGGGACTCAGCCCTAAAAATCTGTGCACGCCTGGCAGTGGCTTCTGTGGGATCACCTCCTTCTCCTAAACATGACTACAGACACAGACCGTCCCTCCCTCCTGCTCCCATCCGAGCAGCCAGACACCCGCAGTCCTTGCTATCAGCTTTGGCCGGTGCCTGCCGTTAGCCCGCTAAAGCAGGGCTTGGGCAGAGGGTCACTAAAAAACAGAAAGTCTCCAGGTCCCAGCTCAGGTTCCCACAAAGCCAACAAGTTTATCACCGGCCACTGTCTGGCAAGAGGGTCTGTGGGCAGATTTTTCACTGATATTTCAAACCTGACTATCCAAAGATCAGTGACTAAAAAAAAAAAACAAAAAAACAAAACAATCCTCATCTGAATAGAAAGCGATTTCCACTGCTCGTCAGCACCTCCCTACCCTCCTCTCCCAGGATCAAGTGATGAACAGGGCGTCAGCTCCTTTACTTACCCCGCTGGGAACTAAATCCTTCGTCAAATCACACATTAAAGAAGCTCACTGTGTGCAAAAGACTCTTACGCTAAAACAGTTCCACCCTACACAGTGCAGTCAACACAGTTTTTAACTTAAACTTGCAGCTTGTTCTTTACAAGTGCTTGGCAGAGAATATTTATATTCTTCTGACACCATATAAATAATATTTATACAGCTTAGACATTTTGAGACATGCATTAGACTTTAGGTAGTACATATTTCTTGATCATATATGCAAATATTACTGTCAATTAAACTGAGCAACCTTATGCTGGACCATGTCTTGCGTTATCCAGGATGTTTGACGGTGGCTCCGAATCGTCCATGGGAAGGACCAGGCGTGTTCCCCGGATTACGAGTTCATGGTCCCCAAAAGCAAGCTCCCGATCGAGCGCGTCTTCAGAGTTGTTTCCCACGAACCGCCGCGACGTGCCGCTGGATGCGACAGAGTCGGTGTTGACGGTGGAATCCCCGTAGGTCAGACTGATGTCCCCGTCGTTCAAAATGAGGTCGGAGTCATCATCCTTTAGCTGCTCTTGATTCTGGGCAACAAACAGGAGGAAAGTGCTGTTTAACTCTTCCTGAATAGCTACGTTTGCAATCGCACGGTGGTGGTGAACGAGCAGATAAAGGCACCAAATCACAGACTCTCCCGCACCATGACCATAACCAGATGTGCCACACACACACACACACCTCTGAGCCCAGGAGACTCGCACAACGCACCAACTTCTCTGCAGTCTGCCTGAAAGGGTGCGCTCAGCTCTTCCTTCTGATGCCGTAGCCAGATACACGGGGAATGCAGCTTTGAGTGGCTTTGACAGAACTAAAATACCCATGGCCACAGGAATCGCACTGCCGACCCATCACAGCCATCTCTGTTTTGTGCAGGGAACTTGATGCTGGTACTTTGCCGGCAGGGAGAGAAAACTCCTGCCAGGGAGAGCTGCCGCTGCAAGGGGCTCCTGGCAGAGCAATACCCTGAGTGCTGTGGCCCTGCCGGAGAGCCGTGCCGGTACCAGCCACCCACAGAGCCACGAGGGGCCAAACCTGACCAGCAAACCCAGCTCCTCGCAGAGTGCGGGTGCACACAGGCTCTGCAGCGACGGTGGAAAAGGTCGCTGCCTACAGGCTCTCCAAAGCTGCTTGTCATCTCCCTGCCCCTCTGGGCTGCTCAGAGAAGGGCTCTTTACTCTTTCGGGAGAAAATCAGCCCCGGTTCAGATGCTGGCAAACTTTTTTGGTTGCGAGCGATGCAGCTGAAGGGCCTGGAGGAACAGCTCAGCTGCAGGGTTGGAAGAAAGCAGGGGTAAGGAAATTGTGTGTCCTCCCAGCTGGGCCTGGGGAAGGACAGCCGTGACAGCTTCATCGAGCCAGTCACTGAGGAACCACCATGAATACACCACAAATCCCTTCATGACCAAACAGTCAGCTGGAAAAGAAAATGCTCATGGGAATTAGCTCATCCATCAGCCCCAGTATCTGATCTCCCCGCAGGCTCCCAGCTCGAGGCTGCAGAGCAGCATCCAAAAGCTATGCAGAAACGTAAATGAGTCAGACTCCAGGAACACCGTGACAGAAAGGACGCCAATGGACTCACTTCGTACGCCTGCGGACTCGTCAGGCACCGGGCAATAGGCCCACAGCACCCCGGGAGCGTGGTCGTCAGAGGAGGACCGCTGTGTGTCAGCAGAGGCTTTAGATAGCTGCAGAGAGGGTTAAGGAAGAAAGAGGAACAGGGCGATGTCGGTAAGTCGAGGGGTGGGACGCAGAGGCAGCAGTGAAGGACTCGGTGTCTCGAGGAAATCACAGGAAGGAAAGAAACACAAGTCCCTGGAAGCATAAAAATTATAGGGATGAGCAACGTGAATGCAACCACACAGTGGGACACGAGTGGACCAGGACACGGTCCCAGTAAGAAAAGGCTTAGCAGCATCACTTGTCCCATCATCCTGTGCCTCACCTCAGCCTGGCAAACCGCTCCTCCACTAATTCACGGCAAAGCATTTGAAAGGGAGGAGGGACACAGATCTAGCAAGAGGGCTACAAATGAGAAGACCCCGTGCCATCCCTGCCCGCCTGCCACTGGGACTGAGGACCCCCCTGGGCTTCCAGGCTTGGAGAGCCCAGCTTGGAACTGAGCTACCACTGACAGTGGGTGGAACTGGTCATTTCTTGCAGCCACAGACACAAGGAGGTGCAAATCAAAAACCAGCAGTGTGACGGGAAAGCTCCTCTGCTGAGCGGGGAGCGAGTCACGCTCCGAGTCAACAGAGTTGCTCCGGCAGATGGGATTTGGCACGGCACGCACCGACTGCCATTCAAGGATACTTGTGATCGAAGTTGTACCACATGCGGAAGAGCCAGGCGCTTTCTGCCTTCGTACTCCTCCTCTCGCTCTCCGGGACGCCCTGTGGGAGAGCAAAACATTAAACAGCAGGCAGGGCAACGTGCCACAACCTGGATCAGGGCCAGGAGCCCCCCTGGGGACATAGGAAAACACACACCTTCCCACTGCCTCTTCCGAAGAAATCTTTGGGTTGCAGCGAGCATACAAGCATTCACACCACAACAGGCTGAAGGTGCTTCCAGCACCGCACTCTGCATTTAGCAGCGTACAACAGCCTTAGGGAGGTGGTATCAAAGCACAGAGTGACCATTTTTCTGCTAGAGCCTTCCAGTTTCTGGCTCCAAGGTTTTAAGTGCCTCAGAGCCAGCACCCGCATCCAGACATCACATTTAATAGTAACTGGCAGGTCCAACCTCCATCAGATCTCGCCTGAGATTTTTGTATGCAAATAATCATGTGTTAGGGGACTCCTGGCTTCCTTTTAGTTGGAGAAAAAAAATATTAAACTGTTTGGAGGGGACTGTGAATACAATTACATATTTCACAGAAATTTGGCTTTCGGATTTATGGCTCTGAGCTGCCTTTAGCATTTGACACTTTCTCTCCAGGAGGTGAACAGCCCAATAAACGGCTCTGAATAAAATGAACCTCCAAGGTGCAGAACCCACACTGAAATCAATTAGAGCCACAGCCACAGCACAACCGGGCTGCAGATGCACAAGTGAGACAGCTCGGGACTACCAGGCAGGAAAACTCCCAACGCCGCAGGGCTCCAGCATTTATCTCAGTGCGGTCAGTGGTTCCTGGGCTGCCACATAACTACCCACAGGAAACACGGGGGCAAAAGAAAGGTTGACGGTACCCGTGGGTAAAAGTGGGACAGAAGATGCTACATAAAATGTGTCAGTAAATGGCATTTCTGTACTGCCCTGGGTGCTGGGATGAGGCAGAGAGCCTCCATGTCACGCACATTTTGGTATTTACTTCAAACGCAGCAAGGGAGAGACCGAATCTATTGCAGGAGAACTGTGGACTGACTGAACAGTCCAGCGTTACTTCCATGCCCTTCCCTCCGACTGAATAAAAACAGGCCTCATTACAACCACAGAGAGCCCAGAAAAGCCATGACTCCCACTCATTGCAAACTTTCACCAGGGGAGCTAAAAACTCTCCCACAGCTGGAAGGGAGCGAGGCACAGACAGGCATTCACGGGGTCTCCGCGTAACGCCTGCACCGATGAGCACAGTGCAAATTCCTCTACAGAGGCTGCCCAGCGGCACCGCACTCACCACGTTCTCCTGATCCGCATCCACACCGACTCTGTGGAGGAGAAAACAAGCACAGGGTTAGCACCAGCAGCGCCAGGTGGGAACACGCCGCGGTCCGGGGCGGGGGGAGAAGGACACGATCTTCCTCTTGTCCCTTAAAACCGAGCACCTTCACGTAAAAGCGGGATGAGGGAGAGGACGTGCTGCGCCAGGAGAGCCCCACGCATGCCACGCTCACCGAATATTCAGGCAGGACAGCATGGCCGTGGTGCCCCCGCCGAAAACCCACACCGTAAAGAAGACGATGAGGAGCGTCGTGCTGAACATCATCTGCCGGGCGTAGGTGGCCGTGTCGCGGATGGCCAAGGCGAAAGCCATGGCTCCTCGCAGCCCTGCCGGGGAAGGGACGGCGGAGGGGAGGTGTTAGCCCACGGCACAGGCGGCTGCCCCCGCCGCAGGCTTCCCCACCCCGGGGGTTTACATCACGCTGCCCCACACGCGGTCCTGTCCCTCTGACAGGACATCCACCACCAGAGGAGACCACAGTGCTTTAACAGCGACGATTTCACGCAGTGCACTCAAGCGCAGGGCAGGAGGAGCTCGTTCCTACACCTCAAAACCAAGGCACTCGCACCACTGAACCTAAGACAGCCCTTTCCTGCCCAGCCTCTTCTCCAGACATTGTCCGTAAGAGATTTAGAGTTGAATAAGGAGTATTTCCAGGTGCTCGGGGGCAAGAAAGTGCAGACGGGCCCCGTGGTTGGAGGCAAAGATGCAATAACGTACCAGCAAACATCATCATATGCTGTAAATTTGTTCCGATCTTATTTCTTCTCCCCAAATTCAGTAAAAATGACAGTGGGTAAATATTGGCAGCTCTTCCTAGGAAGATAGCAAGCTGTATTTGCACACGTTAAGGAAATTGCTCTTCCTATGTCTCCCATCGCATCCCACCTCTGCACACAATGCCAATTTCTACTGCCTGGCAGAAACGCTGGGGAGCCTCAGAAATACCAGTCCTCTGGATGCAAAGGTAATAACCCAGCTCCGAGTGCTACAGCAGTGTGGGAAGAGCATGCTACTGCCTCATCGAAGCAAAGTACACATTGCAATTCAGGAATATCATACAGAGCCAAGCACAAATAAACAAAGGAAATGATGAGAGGGCAGGGTAGATGAGTGAGAGGAGAGAAAAACCACCATTTCTCGCTGTATGCTCTCCCCTGCTGGGTCCGTTTTCTACCCCAAGAATTATTTGTCCTCTGTGAAGCTCAAGTTATCACAGCTACCACAACCCCTCTGACATTCCCCTGCATGCCACACTTCACAGCTGGGTTTGAAGCTTTAAGCCAAGTCCCGTTCCCAAAGATTATTCAGCAAAATGAAAGCAGCAGCAGTTGAGAAGGAAAAAACAAAACCTAATGCTCTTTCTGTTTTCATAGTCTGGGAGATACGAGAATCACCAGCCCCTTTATATTGCTTTTTATCTTTGAAGCTGTGTCTTTTAATACCAGCACCCAGATGGCAAAAATAATCCTGGAGCCAGTATTCAGTGCAGCCTTGAATAATATGGAAAATGCTTCCAGCTTTTATGTTCTTTCCTGAACATCATGAATTTGCATAAGAGACGTATTTCATGATATCTCTCATGAATCAGCTGTTTCATCAGTGAGTTAGCCAGTTCCTGCTGAAGAGGCACAGCACAAAATTTCAGTCTAACCACCCAAACGGCATTTCCCTGCTCTTTACTCCCTTTACCCCACTGCAACCCTGCAAAAGCTCATCGGGGAAATCCAGCAGACCCCACTGCAAACCCACGTGCCAGCACTGGCAAAAAGAACAACGTTTTATTTATCAGTATAAACCTGCTTCAGTGGAGGCAAAGGGTGAAAGTAATTCTGCACATCCGAACTGGCTTCCCTGTGATATGAAAAAAATTCCTTCAAAATCCTTGTTTTTCTGAGACATACCAGGGCCAATAGCCTGTTTCCATTAGCATCCGCCTGCAAAAGGGAAATCCTCTCTCATGACATCATTCAAAGGCATCTACTGTAGCTTTAACTGTGCTACTTGACAAAAAAAAAAAAAAAAAAGCTTTTTTTAGGGTCAACCAAATGGAATGGCAGAGAAAAGAGGAAATAAACGGCTATACCAGGCAGTCCCCATTGGCAAAGCCACTCCTGGTGCCACGCTGCCATGTGACGAAGTCTGGTGTTCCAGCACCACATTCACATCAAACACCGAGTCTGTGCAGCAGCTGATTCGAATGCCCACAAAAGGAGACAAGACAGGGGGAAGAATAAAACCAGAAAAGCTGGGAAAAGAATCTCCTTCTTCTTAAAATAACCAGCAAAGGCACCACTACAGGGGAGAAATCTCCTTTTAAAAATAAAGCTAGACTGACTGAAAAAAACCCACACACATCTGAATGAAAAACACAAACTGGGAATGAGGCACCTCTCCCTTTCTTTTTTTGTCTTATAAAATGGGCTCCAAAGGATACAAAAGCCCCCACCACAAAGGTAGGGTTAAAGACGTGGTTCTGGAAGGTGAACAGTGCAAGTCCCATGTATGAGAAGATGAAGTTTTCTGCCAAGAAATTCAGAAGCTCAAACAACTGAAAGAGAAAAACAAATTAAAAGTGAGTTAGAGGTAACATAGATTTAACAGGAAAAACATGTTAGCCCATCCATCACGCAATAAATACTTCTGCAGAAGCAACCCTAGTAAAATCCATCTGTGGAAAGACAGATGCACCTAATTCTGGCTAGAGGGAAGGGAAAAATATTGAACTTGAAATTCAGAGGGACTGAGGAGCTCTCACCTGCTTAGTTCTGTGTTGAGACTCTGTAGATAAGTTGTTATAGGTATAATGGGCCTGCGTGATCCCACAGAAGAGTACGGCCACCACACCTGGGGAGCAGAGCATCACGTTAGACTCCCGGTCATGAAAAGGGAGCTGAGCTGCACCCCAGTAGTGTAGGGGACTTAATGCAATAACCCCAGAACCCAGAATAATTAAACTTCTGAAAGCAGAGGGAGAGCCCTGGCTGCAATCAACACTGGGAGGAGCAAAACGCAATAGCCCCATCATCCCCGCAGATCTCCGTTCCAGACGCAGGGCTGTGCTGCAGCTTGCCTGTAAAGCCACACGCTTCGGCCAGCAGGAACGTGCTCCAGGACATCAGGAAGAACAAGCCAGTCTCCAGCAACGGGAACTCCCGAAGTTTGGTGAACTTGGTGACGTTGCAGATCGTTAAGGACAATTTGGAGAGGAACTCTAGGCTAAGACCATGTAAAATTCAGTTGTGTATCACAGCAACACTACACAGCCTGCCCCTAAAAAGTCTGTGGCACTGCCTTTCATTCACTTAGGCAACAAATCATGAAACACTGTGTCTGGGTAAGATGCAGCGCAGCAAAAAAAGGAGCTGTTAAGCAAACGCTTGGAAAAAAACAACAAAAAGGATATTAAAGCTGTCACAACTCCAGTAGCTGCTCCCATTGCAAAAGATCCACTGAATATCCCCAGGAAGATCCCGATGGACTTGAACATCGCTGTGACATCAAATGTGTGGCTGTTGTCGCCCGCCGGCTGGTACGCAACAATTGAACTGAAAGAGGGAGGAAAAGCACACACAAGAACAGAACACTGCTTAGTCTGGAGGGAGAGGCACCTCCAGGGTGCTACGTGAGCTTTGCAGAGTGCTACGACCGCTGCAAACACCGAGCCTGAGAAATCAGGGATACAAAACCCGAGTCCCACGCTGCAATCCCTCCATGTTCACAGCATAGAACCACAGCATGCCTACCCTGTCCCAGGGAGTTTGGGATCCCCTTCGCTCCCGGACAGCTTTCTACAGTTCAGCCACCCCTCCTAGGCATGGCTCTGCGTTTGCTCCTTCTAGACATTAGAGGATTGGACCAAAGCCTGTCTCTTGCATGATCTCCTGCAAATACATTTGCTAGGTGACAGTCTGTCATTTACGATGGTATTTGGGGGGGTTGGCATCAGCTTTCTATAAAGTCGGGCACTCTGGGACCACAAAGCGTTCAAGCGGGAAGCCTACATTTCTCCATCAACTCCACAGAGGCAGCTAATGTGAACATCCCCTGGAGAACTGTAAGATATGCCGTTTTACTGCATTTAACATGCACTACATTTATTTTGTACCGCTTCGAGTTCTGAAGTGAAATACAGGGTAGCAAGGCAAATGGCACAGCGCCGGTTCACAACAGCAACGCTATTACCTTCATCCACCAAACTTCAACAGACCTTTGTGATGAGATGGCAAATAGGTCTGCCACGCTGATTCCATCTCTGAATCCGCTCCCTCCGAACTCCTGATGAGGCGAGCCTTGCATCAGCCATTCCACTGTTTTACTTGGAAAGGCTGAGATACAGGGGGGCCATTATCCATCTCCTAAATCCTATTTAACAACTCCTTACATCACTTTTTTTGATGTAAACTTACTGAAAACATTAACTTCCTAGTTAGCCATCCCTCGGCTGGTTCTGTTAAAACTCTTGGATGTGAACTTTAAACACTTGCTGTTTAACCTCCCGAGTTATGCTGGAGTGGAAAGTTACTGCCTCACGCACACATCCTGCAGCTTTCTCCCCTAACTACACACCAACATTTTTCTGCAACACAAATGACAATCCTCCCCTTCCCAACGTGTCACGGGTCACTTCCCGTGCTGAACTTCCCTGCTTTTAATACAGTTCGTTTTTCTGCATTGTCTTTTACACTGCAAGCTACAGATTTCTCCCTGTGATTTAATTTCTTTCATCAATCCCATCTTATACTTCCCATTCATCAACATGCTCTTATTCTGAGGCTTGGGGTTTGGGTTTGGTTTTTTTTTAAATCCAGACTGGTTTCATTTCCCCTCCATAACCAACTGTTTGGATGTCGGTTTTGCGTTTTAACCTCTTACAGTTTTCCTTCTGGTTTTGCTTTTTGCGTCACTAATAAGACATTATTTCCAGCTGCCCTTCATACACTTTATTTCCCCTGTCCCTGCCCACAGGGCTCCCCATGGCATTTAGCCCCTGTGAAACCTCCCTTTGGAAGAAGCAGGCGGAGACCCTGCGGCTGCATTTACCCCCCTGCTCCCAAACCGCAGCCCCGGCATCTCGCTGCCCACCGGCTTTCGGTTCTGGGTTCAATTCCTTTTCATCCTGCAACCGGTTCCCCGCTGCCAAGCCAGGCAAGACCAACACAGCACAAGGCAGGAACAGAAAGGCACGGATCCTGCTCCCCAACCACGGGAACGGACACTTGTCTGGGACAGAAAGAGGGGAGAAGAGGACCCTCGAGGGCACCCAGCTCCCAGCAGAAATCCCGGAGGACTCCCAGCTCCTCATCCTCCCCAGCGCGGGGACGATGCCCGCAGCGCTCGCTTTCACCACGTGCAAGGAGATGATGGTGCTTCTCGGGGCCACCACCAAACCCACACCCGGAGCCCCTCTTCACCCCGGGACAAGGCAGCACCCACCACCAGCCGTCACCCAGCTGGCAGCGCAGCCCACCCGCCCGCCCAGAACCCCCCCTGATTCCCCATCTTCCCAATTCACCCTTCCATCTCCCTAACCGGGCAGCAGGTCTTCTGCTTGTGGGGGCAGAACCATCCCCAGACGGTTCCCCCACTTACCTCTGCTGTGAAACGGGCAAACGCCAAACTAAATTTAGAAAATGGGAACCATAAATAGGAGTTCTGGACTGGTCTCGGGGGTGCTCTCCTCCCTGGAGCAAGAGGCTTTCGCCTCCTCCTTGCACCCAAGATGTGGTTGTGTCCAGGTGATTTGAGGCTGTCCTTGAGATACCTGCACCGACCGATACCCGCCGTGCTGACCGGGGCTGCCTTACGCTGCTTATGGTGACCCCAAAGACAAAGACCACGGCAAGCTTTAAAACAGGTACGGCTTAATGGCTGAAAAGCCCTTGAGAAGTCAGGGTGCCGCTGGGCCGGTCTGCACAAAAGCTTTGCGGCAAAATAGCTGCTGACTGCAGCTTGGAGCTGCTGTTTTGGTGCAAATTATCTTATTTCAGGGAGGGGGGTGGACTGAACTCAGCTTGTGGGAAGAGGAAGGCAGGAAATCAGAGCAACAGCTACAAAGCTGATAGTGAAACAGTGGAAGAGGCAAATCGCCGCGCACGGCACAGTCAGCTACATGTGGGGAGATCCACCACAAATTTCATTACTCTTGATGCTGAACACACCCACTCCCACCCAAAACCTCCCGGCACAGGCTGGAAGACCCTGTCCCTTCCTCACTCAGGATCACCTCTTAAACACGACCTGGCTGTGCAGCATGTACTCTTGCACTAACGGTGACACATCCAGCATAAAAGCCAGAGCAAGCAATACAAATGGTTCCAGAAACCTCAACAGAAACATTCAATTCAGTAAATACAACTCATGCGGGTGGCGATACGCAGCTCACAATATGTTACTTGCTGCCTCCGTCTCAGTAAAACCCACACAACCAGCACGCTGGAGTGACAAGTATTCCAGAAATATTTTCTGCATTAGTCTCAGCTATACGTTAACCTGCCACCATTGCAGATATTATATATTTCCAAACAAATTCCCGTGATGACAGCACAGTGAAAACGCAGATAAAATACGTCCTCCATGCAGAGGACATAAAATATTAAAGACTATAAAGCATTCTTCAGAAAGCCAGCAAGTTTCCCATGCATTCAGTCCAGGGCATTAACTCCGGCTGTAAGAAATACCATCTTCTTGATGCACAGAAAGGGGGGAGAGAAAGGAAACAGCTGCTTCACCAACTATTTCCACCTAAACAAAAGCAGGTATTTGTGGATGGGAAGGAAGGCAGGTAGGAGCAAAGCCACCAGCAAGGGGTTGCAGTGGGATCCTGTGGCCGAAAAGCAGACGTGGTGCTTTTCCCATTTCAGAGGACATAAAAACTTCCTTCTGGCTGGGTCAACCGGCCATAAAAGGAAAACAAAACTATCCGTCATGCAGGGGAAAAGTTGTAAGGACAGCCCACAATCCCAAGCTGCCGTCTGCAATGAGGAAATGCGTCAGAAGGTCACTAGAGCTTTTCAGGACACTTAATATGGAAATCTGCTCTTGCAAACACCAATGCTGCTATTTCACAGGAGCAAGGCCGAGTGGCTCCCCCCAACACCTGACATGCAACATACATAACAATTAAAAATAAAAACAGAAGACACTTACGAAGACAGCACTATGGCAACGGCATCATTGAGGACGCTTTCGCCAAAGAGAAGGGCATACAGCTCAACATCAACCTGGAGTTCATGGAATATGGCAAGAACAGTCACTGACAAATAGAAAAATAGAGAGACATTCAAAAAGGTGCCGTTATTTTGGTGTAATCAAAGACAAAACACCCCTTTTTAGAAAGCTGCCTTCCTGCACATCTGTGCCACTCTGCTGCAATGGTGCCAGCCACCCCCCATGCTCCCTTTGAGAGTCTTCCTTCTGCCCTTTAAGATCTGGATTTGCTTCATCATTTCCCTCCTCCTTTTACTAAAACACATCCTGGGCATTAGGTCTATTGAGTCTTTAGCAGGCAGACATGCACAAACTCTGCTCTGAGCTTCCTGAGGGTCTGAGCTCACAGGCTAGACCATGGTACCACGCTGACACAAAGCCACCCAGCTTTTGGGATGCTGTTAGCTCGGGGCATCAGGGAGAGCCTTCCTCCACCTGCAGAAGGCCAGGAGGATGCAGGCTTGTCCAGGATGATGGCTGTCCTTTCCTTCCATCCCTGATAGTCCGAGAGAAATCCTCTGATTCAATACAGGTTGACACACTGGAAATGCCAGCACTGATGTGTTAACATTTCAGACCTGACTGGAAAAAAGCCAGGCATCGGCTCAAACCCTGTGTGGGGGTTTCTTGTGATTTATGGCCACATGGCAGAGATCAGAGTATGCTCAAGCCCTTCTGTAATCCAGCAGCTCCAAGAAGATAATGAAAATGCAGCAGATTTTGCCTATCAGCCTTGCAAAAACATCACAACATCTAAAGCAAGCAAGATGTAACACATGGTGCATCGTGCACAGCTCAGGCTGCTGCAGAGGGCTGAGCTAATTTCAGTGAACTTCTGTGAAAGTCCTTTAAAACAGCATTCAGGGACTCATCTGTGCAAACTGAAGGGGGTTTAACCCACTTATGCACAGGGAAACGCACCATTTTTACCTGTGAAATCTTCTTGGTCCTGTTTTGAAGCCTGAAGAAGGGATGCGATGCTGACAGCTCGTCTGCAGAATTCCTAAGCGTTACTTCTACCTACGGTACTTGCCTGGCCTCTGCCCATCTGCCATCAGATTTACCACACTGCCATCATGTCTGTGAGGTGCTCCCTGCTTTGCAAACGTGCCCCCCTCTCGATGTCGACACCCCAGCTAAGTTACAGGGAGAATGCTCGACCTCGCAGCCCCACGGGACCAGCTCCCCGCTACAAGAACCAGTGGCCTGAATGCATGCCCACCCAAGACACGTTCGGAGAAGCTGGGAAATCATTTTACCTTATTTTTTAAGTTATTTGTTTGTTGGGTTTTTTTTAAATAAAAATATCAGCAGTAATAGCCATACCAATATCTGGCAAATCTTAGGGAAACGTGAAAAACAAATTTTTAAAAACTCATGGGGAATGCACGTCTTGCATCTCCACCTGGCAGACAGATGTGGCTACTGCCACGTTATGCTGCAGGTTATGTTCTGCAGCGTTATTCTTGCCTATACGCACATGCATAAAATGCTCCTCATTTTGCCTTTGAAAACAGAAATGACTCTTTGTTAAGATGAGCAGGTAAAAGTCCCAATTCATCCAGAAACAACAGCCGCTAGCACTTGTTTCAAAAGGACAGAAGACTTGGCTTATCCAGGCGTGCAATCTCTCCCTTCCAAGCAAAACTGACCAATATCTGCATTTAAAAAGATCCGCCAAAGCTACTGTAACATCGGGAGGGGGGCGATGCTGCCACCCCCCAGCCCCACCACACCGATCTCAAACGTAGCAGCCACGCTGCAAAGGAAGAAATTCAAGCCCTGTTCAGCAAAGGGCAGGGGGAAAGAGAGGCCTTTCTGTAGTTCTGTGTTTTTAGGTAAAGCTGGAACATGCAAATAAACAGCTACCATGTAATGGCAATCGTGAACTAAGTAAAATTCAGTTGGACAAGGCATGTTTTTCATAATTTTGATTTATAAAGTGCATCAGTGGACCAAGATGTCACTACTGTCCTCAGTACTGCTCATTAAGATCAATCTTCAATTAGATTAGCGCCTTCCAAAATCCCACCCAAACGGAAGCGGAAGGTCTAACTAAACTAAACTAACTAAAACTATCAACTGAACCCTCCCCACATTACACATCTTGTTCTGCATCAGCAGTTGACACAGGATGGCAGAGACACAGTGGACCTGTCCCAAAACCCAGCAAAGTCAAGAGAGACTGCCTAGGACTTCACTGCAAACAAAGATTCAGGGAAGCAGAGGTTTGGAAGGTATACTACACATAACTGGAAGGAAATAAAAAGGCATGGAGACAAATTTGACCTCTAAAAATGTCACAAATAAATTAAACTCCAAAACTCAGAAGGAGGGAACTTGCAGGGGTTTCAGACTTTCTTCCCCTCTTCCCCACAACTCAAAACAGATCAAAATGCAGGTAAAATGATGGAAAAAATAACTGTCCAACATACCTGGGTCAGTAGCCGACACGATGGCACCGAATAGGAGGCAGTCAGTGAAGTAGAAGTCTCCCCCGAGCTGCCCAGTGACTTTCATCAGCGCCACGCAGCCATACACGACAGAGCTGGTGATCAGAAGAAGCAATTACTCATCTCTGCAGTGCATTAAAATGACATTCAAATGGGCTCGATTCCCCTAAATTTGCCAGATTAACCCCTAAAGTTATCCAAACGCAGGAACACCAAAGAACTGAGCCTGGTGAAAGCCCAGGACCACACACACCAAAGCACCCATCGCACCAGACCACAAACATGGTGCCAATGAGGAAGGGGGACCAAAATTCCTCCGTGAGCATAACATGGCTAAAGAAAAGCAACAGCCAGGCTTGTGGAGTCTCATGATCACTTTGCAGTGTTTCACACTAACACATTTCAGTGGGATCACCTTGGTCTGACTTTGGAATGGCCAAAACTTACAGCGAGGAACAGATAATGTGGATGCTGAGTTTGCTTGAATCCACTGGACTTTCCAGGGGAAAACACCCTACGCCAGCCTGCCTGTTACTATTCAGAGTGGGAATCGTCTAGCTCCCTCTGCGCACAGAGATAAATAATTTGAAACACAATCTGTGCTTGCTAGGCACCCGCTTCCAGCAAGTAAGGACAGGACGCGTGTTTACGATCCTGCCCTCTACTCTTGTGTCTCATGCTTGTTAGGGCTGTGCTTTCAATAATTTGAAGTTACTGACTGTTTTTTCAGGACAATCTTCAGAGAAGTGTGAAACTGTCCTTGCCATGTATGTAACTATTCCGTATGGAATGCTGAGAAAGCACTACGCAATTAGACAGCAATCACCCTATCCACACAGCAAAAGCTTGCACAGTAAATAGCATTATTTGCCACTGCCGAGCAGCGGTAGTAGAGAGCCTGTGTGATCTTTGAGGGCTGGAATTAGCGGCCACAGCTCTGGGCTCAGAGCACTGCCTCCGAGTATGGCTCAAACTGCCGTGGAAGAACCAGACCAGCTCCAACTACTCACCCGATCACCAGGCAGGAAATTGCAGTGCCGAGAAAAGCGTATGCTAGGATGGATCCCAAGTTTCTGAAGAAGTGCCTCTAGAAGGAGGAGAATAAAAAAACCTGAATTATATTTTGCTAACAATTTATTTCAAGCCTGCACAGGCACCCACACAGTGTCTCTAGCAACTTGGACCTAGCTCAGACACCACGAGCTGGACAAGCACAGCTGAGCAGTGCCCAGCACAACGGTGTACACTGCCAGGCCAGCAGATATTAATGCAGCATTAATAAACATGAACATATCATTTTCTTGTACCCATGTATTTAATAAGGTGCTGTTCCAAGTCCTGGGAACTGATTCCCTAACCCAGCAGCATTCCTACTTCCTTCTGCTGCAAGCTAAACAGGATCATTTTCCTCTCCTTCCAAATCAGCATTTCAGAGAGCTCCTGCTTTCTAAAACCCTCCTACCCTCCTGTGTGTTTCGAAAGTGAGGATGGCTGAAATGGCCCAGCTGACCCAAAAAGCCCCTGCGCAAACCCGTGCTGGAAATGGTTGAAGTCACTGACCCTTCCCGGGGCAGAGGGATGGATGAGACCGACTGGGGCACTCTCAGCCCTGCTTCCTACAATCCCGCATGTACTGGGGAAAACCGTACCCAGCTCCGCAGCCTCAGCCTGCTGAGCAAGCATGAAAGCACTCTCAAGTATTAAAAATGCTCTGGAGGCAGAGGAACTAAAAACGTAGGCGCTGTAAAGGCACGTACCCTTTTCAAGCTGTAGCCTGCATAAAATATAATTGGAGGAAGCAAAATGTTGAAAAATACTTCAGGATCAAAAGTCACCTGTTAAGAAAAAAAAAAAACCAACAGTAAAATGGTTTGTTAAGAGTGCAAGACAAAACACAAATAAGAATGTCATACAAAATATATGCAGGAAACCCTGTACCCCCGCCGAATGAAAGCTGTCAGGTGAACGCTGAGGACACGTCCAGGATCTTTGGGAGACATAGCTCAGTCCAAACAGCTTAAATTAAGATCAGCTGAAACTAGAGTTTCATTACATTGTGTTCAACTTATAGTTTATATCTGATCACAGTCTGACCAAAGTTAAAAAAATAAAAATAAAAAATCACTTAATCCAGCAGATACAGGACCGGTCCCCATGGAGGGAGTGGGGAGCATCGCTCACCTCTCCAATCGCCGACTCCCTTACCTTCCTCAGCATCTCGTTATCCTGGACATTATTGAGTTCCTGGGCACTGATTTCCCCCTTCAGGGTGTACTCGTAGTACTTTCCGCTGACGTTCACCAGCAGCGTGGCGGGACTGGTCTGCACTTGGCAGCTCAGCGTCACGTTGTTGACGTCGCTGGGGACGTGGATGCCGTAGCGCAGGACCACGCCGACCAGGACACCTGAGGAGGGACACGCATCGGTGAGATGAGCCACAGCAAACGCCTGGGACGATCTCTTTGAGCACGGATGCAGCACCAGGCACCCCAGGATCCTGACCCCCTGCTCAGCTGCTGAGCACAGCCACCATCCAAATAATTGCCTGTGCAATATTAAACCATGTGCATCCTCCCACGAGCCATGCAAACGCTCCATGCTCGTGCCGACTTTCTAACACCAGCCACAGCTGGTCCTGAAGGCTTTTAATTACCCAGCAATCAGTCAGGCCCTCGCTCTAGTGCGGCAAACAGCCGACACAGAGGGCACGCTGGTTTTCTTAGGGCGAGCACCCTGGCATTGCTGGCACACAGCTGGGGACCTGGGCAAGGTGCTGCTCACGTGTGCCCAAACTATGCACGTTGCACCTGGAAACCTGACGGCATCATGTTTTGCCACCACAGAAATACATTAAACCCTTCCTTTTTGTAGGGAATTAAAAAAGGTACCAAGCAACCATCACAAACGCTTTGAGGACAGTGAGCATCCTTCATAAAACGCTGCAGCACCATAAAGCCTCCTCCTGCAACAGGGAGCTTTCGCAGCGCACAGCAGCGATCCCCATTTTATAAAAAAAAGTGGAAGTTTTGCCTCTGGGCCAACCACCCGGGTCTGCTCCTCGCCCTCTGCAAGCTTCAGCTCTGCACCATGAGCAGCAGCCCCAGGGCAGCCCCGCAAGTCAACGCTGCCTCCGGCTCAGCTGCTGCACAGGAGTATCGCGGGGTTAATTTGAGAGTCAGCAATTTATACTGGCACTTTTCTTTTGCAGCACAGCTGATGAGCTGTGCTCTGAGGCCTTGCATCCAGATTAACGGCGTTCGCACAGCACAGGCTCCTCCGGCTCCTTCTCACCCGCACGGCGTGCCGAGCGCTCTCCTGGCAAAGCTTTTTGACATCTGCAGGCTGGGGAGGAGGGATGTCCCACAAGACACCTTTCCACGTAGCCTTCAGCACAAAGGGTTTGGAAACTCCTTGATTAAGGCAGCGCTGAGCCACCACAGAAATCCTGGATCTTAACCCCATCTCTGAACCACACATTTATGAAAAACTTTCAGACACGTGGGAACTAAACAGAGACCGCAACACTCGGAAGGCTTCTCCATTTGCCTCCCAGGATGCTCCCGCTTCTTTACTGTTGCCTTAATTAAGATCTTGCTCTGTGCTTTCCTACAGACAGGGCACAACCCCGACCGAAGGGAACACCAAACTCTTCCTCCACCACCATGTCGCAGGAGCAGAGCCTGGGCAGGAGCTCTGCCGTGGCCGGGCAGGAGATTGTGGGACCCCAACCCATTCCGTACCTCCTGCAGCCCGTTCCCGATCCGCTGCCCCGTTTTTGCCTTCTCTTCCCTTGACAGCAGTCTTCCAAATGAGATTTGCTCATTTTGCTGACAGCCAGAAGAAAAGCCCCTGCCTCCCATCCCCATCCCAGGGGATGTCGTGCACAGCAGGGCCACCCAAGCACACATCCAGGCCATGAGCAGAGGCAGAAGAATCGGCTGCAAACAGACTCACCGCTGCTAACCCATCACACCAGTGACACAGATGGCTCATCCCAGGGCTGACAGACCCGGGAGCTGCACCCAAAACCCAGTCCCTGGTCTAATACGGCACTTCTGCAGCACAGCTGAGCTGCTTTCGCAAACCTACCCATGCTTTTAAGCCATGCACAGCCGACCATGTGCTCACCACATGTTCTGGGCTTTATCCTGCATTGCACCGTTGGCACAAAATTGCCCCGACAGCAGCAGAAAAGGTCCTTCTTGGAAGAACCAGGCACGGTCAGCTCCAGCAAGGAGAGCTGCTTCAGGGAACATCACACTGTGCAGAGCATCTGAGAGCTGCTTTTACACCAGCATCGCTAACAGAGGACACCAAAGAGGAATATTTTTGCTTAATTTTCTGCTAGCCTCTTTGTTCCTGTGATCTTCCAGTGCTCCAGAAATAAAAGTATGGAAATGAAGGCAAGGTTGTCAAGAACACTGAGATGCCACAGCGTGTATTTACATGAGGATGTGGCAGGTGGGGGGGCACGTGGCACCGCAGCATCAGGACAAAACACCCAGATCTCCTTTCACCCAGAAGATGATGACCCCTGAGGTACCACGGGAGACAACAGAAACTCCTCACTGGGATAAAGCGAGCTTCAGAGGGTTATTTACATCTGCTTACAACTATTAAGCAGCTTTAAACAGTTACAGTGAGAATTCAAATGCAAGGGAGGAAAGCCAGACTGGGGAGCTCATTTACCCTCCACCCTTGCCACTGCTCCTGCACTCCTACGGAGCAGGCAGCACTGCATACACCGCGCTCTGCAGCTCTCCAGAGCTACCTGGGGTGGCCTTTAAAAAGCCTTTTTTTAAAAAAAAAAAAAAGTTGATTTTAGAGCTTCACACAGGAGTCAGAAACCTCCAGCAGCAGCAGCTGCCTGCCTTTTCTCAGTTGGCAACCCATCCAGCGACCCCTTCAATGCCCAGGGTCAGCACTTGGAGATGAGAGGCCCTGCAGGGACGGACACTGCTGTGAATTCAGAAGGGATCCTGACTCACCCGCCTCCCCGCTCTTAATCCCCATCCCAAAGCAGCACTACATCTGATAGCACCCCTGCTCGTCCTCGCCGTCTCGCTTACCCGGGCAGCTGTTCCCGGCCCCACGTGCCGGCAATGCTCCGGCCACAGCCAAATTCCCACTCTGGCCGGGAATGGGATAAGGGAAAAGGGACAGATAAACCTACAATATCTGCCAAGATCACTGTGGTTGGGGGTCCCAAAATCAGGCATTTTATCTTGCCCTGTAACATGCTGCCTGGGAGGCTCCCAGAGCTCTCCGGACCGGGGTGGGAAAAGACGCCCACGTGCAAATACACATCCAGCCAGCATCGCGCCAGCGGCTCCTGACACAGAGATGCCATCAGAGTTACTTACACGGAAAGCACGCTGCTGCTCTGCTGAAAGGCAACTATTCTGCCAACGTTAAGATGACCCCACCACCGGCCCCTCCTGCCCAACAGTGGATCACTGGTCAACCCTCCCCACCTAACGATGCTCGCTGGAGGCACTTGGGACAAACACAACTCAGATGCCGAGTTTTTTCAGACACCAAACCCAGTCCTGGGCTCAGGCTATCTGGACCAAGCCCAGGGGACCGTGTACGTCCTCCTGGTTCTGACGGTCTCTTAGGAAATGGTTCAAACTCTCTTGGCGCTCAAAGGGCCATCCTAGCAGCAACCCGTGAGCCGCTCCGCCAGTATCGACATGCTTTTGCAGCCAAAAGTTTTACAAAACTGAGCCCTGGGAGGGAGCTGAGCGGAGGGAACCTGACACGGAGGAAGCTGCCAGCCGAAAGCTGCAAGGAGTAGAGAAGCTAAAGGCAAAGCTGGTAAATTAATTGACTTCTTTTATGCAAAGTGCAAGAGATTACTTTCATTGCATTTCTCCCAACTTCATTAAAAAGAACAAAAGCCCATGGGCTTTTTTTTAGGTGCTGTTGAACATTTCCGAGCTAGGGTTTTAAATGAAGACTAATATATTACCATCCAGGCACTTAACAACAATGGAAGCACACAGGATCCCCAGGCGAGCATTAATCTGGACACCAAAAGGAAAAAAAAAATGTAGCAAGCAACTGAAGACATCCCAAAACCAAGCAATTTAGACGTACACAATCCAGGGGCCAAGTGGGAACACGTACAATGAAACTAGAGAAGCTCCTGCCACATCCACCATCAGACCCTGAGAAGAACTGAAACAAGACTGTTTAATTAATCATCCTAGATGTTGAGTACTTCGGATGTAGGAACCTCATTTTAAACACCGAAATGAAGCCTAGGGGCTACTAAACACCTATTGTCTATCACCGTGCAATGATTCCAGCCTGCATCCAGCTCTTGAACATCAAATTTCAGCTGATGGTGTAATTTGTAAGGTATAAATCCACCTGGAGCAAGAGCTTATAACTTACAGTAAAAACACAGACACCAAGGAAACTCTTACGTATTTCAGCAAGAAGAGATGTATGCAAAAGTTTTATTTGACTTAGTTATTGGGGCTTTTTTAATTAGAAAAAGACAAGCTTTTACAAATTGCTTCTCTTGCCTAGATTTCAGGGTCTGTTTTGCAGCCTGCCTGCTGCAGCACTTCCACATTTTCAGCGGACTTCCCCAGGATGAAAAGCATCGCAGGGGCTGAAAATATCGCAGGGGACCGGGAACAGCAAAGCAGAAGCGGTACCTGCTTTGCTCCCTGCAGCTTTTAAGTTGTCGCTGTAAAACAACAGCATCTCACCACTCCTTGGGAAATTACACGCCCCTTTTCCTACGGTAGCTGCCACAACCTGAGAAGTAAATGCCAAAAGCCTTGATAGCAGGGAAAAACTCGGGATTTTCTGCATGAACAGACAGGTGACGTTACCGATTTCGCCAGAAATTTTCTAAGCACAGTCTGCAAAAGAGCAGACAGAAAATATGCGTTTTAGGGATCAGCAGGAAACCAAAATGACCCAGGTCATCCCCTGAGAACAAGGGGAGCGCTCAGGTGGGTCAGGGAGAATGGAGGACCAAGAGGAAGAAAACTCCAGGAGAAAAAGAACAAGATTAAGGGCAAGTTTGAAAGAGAGAAGGGAACAGAAAGGCCATGTGTTGGCGAGCTCTGGGGTAGCAGGAGAAGGAAGACCTTCCGTGCTGGAAGCACGTGTTCCCACAGCACATCTCCCATCCCGGGGGGGTGACCACCCCTGCCCCAGGCAGGCGGCCAGCAACGCCTGCACCCACCTCAGCGGTGGCTTGCAGGAATCTGAAAAGGCAGACCAGTATTTTGTGCCTCTGGGCTGACGCAAGTGTCTCCGCCCCTTCGTTTGGAAGGACACTTCCAATTAAATGAAACTTAGGATCGCAAAAGCCAACGGCCCAAACAGGTCAAGTCACAGGCTTCAGAGCGAAGCTTTCTGCTGAGCGGGGGACTCGGCCACGTTGCTGCTCTGACCAAGCTTGGTCGCACATCGCCCACAACCAGCAAGGGCAAGGACAGCACGGGGAAGAGACGCTAACCACAGCACTCAGCAGAAGACACCTTCTCAATCCTAAACTCTGCGAGTCTTGTCTAGATAAGGATCCACGGCCGTGTTAATCACTCCCCCAGCACAACTCCCAGTCCTACTTTGGTTGAACTCCAAGTCATGCTAGATAACCTGGCTAGAGCCACGTACGGCCATCTCCATCCGGTGGTCCAGGCCACTTCATGAGGCCATGTCACCTCAGTAAATCACAGGCCACCGTTAAAATCCAACCAGCTATGGACCCGCTCTCCCGACCCACAGCCTCGCTCCACTTCTTGGGGGACACACGTGGGGCATCCCACTGACAGGTCCTGTCACGGCGGGAGGACGAACCCCAAAAGTAGGGGCTCGTCCGCACAGGTCCCTGAGCAGGGGGATGTAAGGCTGCTGGCCCTGCGGGTCCCTGAGCACGGCAAAGGGGGGGAGAATGTCCCCAAATGGCCCCTCCGCTCCTCTTGTACAGCTTCTGGAAATTCCAGTCCTCTAAACAGAGGGTGGAAACACAACCTCTGGCCCCAGCGCGTGGGATGCAAGGCTCCTGACCGGTGCAAAGCCTGGCCCCAAGTCAGCCCCGGAGCAGGTAAGCGGGACTTGCCGGTGCTCGGTGAGATGGGTTTTGAGGCCACTTGGCACACGGTAGCCCCTGACCCCGCCACCTTCACCCGTGCTGCAGCCCCCCTGCGAAGCCACCCGGGAAAACCCAACTAGTTGCTCACTGCCCGTGATTTCGGAGTCATGCTGCCCTCGAAAGCCCTCGATATCCAGGGTTTGGAAAACCAACCAACCCTCCCTCCAGCAACACCCAGTAACACCCAGCACGGGGCGATCCGGGACGGGGTACCCAGCCCAGCCGTCCCAGTAAGACGGGAGCATCTGGCTGCGGCTGGGAGGGGACGCGGCGTGCCCCCCGACATCCCCGCACCCCTTCGCCCACACCGATGTCCACGCGACGAGCCCCGTCGTAGCCCCGAAGAAGAAAAGAAGGGTGGGCTGCCGGGTCCCCGCCGTAACAGCGGGCAGGGGGGTGCCAACCCAGGCACTCCAGTTGGCCCAGCGCGGAGCCGGGACTGGTTCGGATGGGGCTGCCGGTGCTGAGGGCAGGGCGGGGGGTACTCGCCGCAGGGGTTTCCCACGGAGAGGGGTGGGAGGGAGGGTGTGGGTGTGCGTGGGGTGGGTGCCGGCGCCCCTCACCGTAGATCATGGCCAGGCCGGTCTCATGGAGGAAGCGGGCGCGGCGGTGCTTGAAGAGCCAGATGGTGAGGATGGTGAGGGTGAGCAGCAGGATGAAGACGAGCAGGTTGGCGCTGGCCTGCCGGTGGCTC